TAATATACCCCTTTCCAACATTTCTTAAATATAATTCAATACACCTGCATTTAGAAGAGTGGGAAGAAATGCCTAGTAAAAATCACAAACATTTGTGTCCCCTTTCATTGGGTAGACCTCACCATTTGGTACTGATCCCCTAATTATCCACAGGTTATTGTTTAAACTATCCTGAATCAACACAGGCTGTGCACAAGTGCTATCTGATATTCAAAAAGCAGATATGTTGAATTATTACTTCAGAGCTCTTACAAGGCCATTCATTTACCACACTCTAGACCTATCAATAACCTCCAGCTTCCATACTCCAGTTCTTAAGGATACCTTTGGCAAGAAAGTATATTTCCTGGTTAACTGAAGCAATAGCAGCTTCCAATATAAGCTTTTTTTTTCTAGTCCATTTTGAACATGGCTATGTTATTGGACATTGCCACTGCCCACAAATCGGGGGAGGGGGATTGTGGTTACATTACTCTGCAGAGCACAGATGCAAGCAAGATTAAGCTTAAAGAAGAAACAACCCCATCCTAATTCCAAGAAATACAACAGGTACAGTTTGAATGACTGGCATCTTTGTGATGGAGGGTTCACTTTCATGCACCTGATGAAACTGGCCTTTGTTACAATAAATCTGTTAGAGGTGACACAAGGCTTCTTTTTGTTTCTAAAAGTACTGTGCTTGCTGTTCATTTTGCTGAATACTTTCTGGATTTAATAGTATCAGAAATAGTTTTCCCTATTTGGTCTTCTAAATTATTTCTATTTTAATGTGGCTCTTCATGGGTCCCAATTCGCTATGTCAGAAATTCTGTCAGAAATTCTGAGGTAGTGAGATCCTACTCCATAATCTCTCCCTTATATATAAAGCCGGAGTGGGGCCCAACGTTCCAATTCACACCAACAGTGTTTGGAGGCTTGAACTGTTAGTCAGAAGATGCTGGCTTGGTTGCCTGGCTGCTTTGTGTAGTCCCGTCCACGTCAGCCCCGGCCAGAATGTTCAGCTCAGTCTGCTCTGGGCCTCTGACAGGAGAGGACCATCTGCAGACTGAGCACACTTCTGGGCCACTTCAGCCCAGAGGACCATCTGCAGACTGAGCACTACGTCTGGGCCACTTCAGCCCACTCTTCTCTGATTGGGCCAGCGTTTCAAGGTCATTTGCATATGGAAGCTGATTGGACTTCACTCCATTCCACACCTCAAACTCCCTCCCCCCCTCCGCAAGACAGTTGGCATTGTCAGTTGCATATGGGACCTGCTGTATTCTGAGGTAAAATATGTCCTCACTCACAACACGTCACTTCCCCTTCAACAGAAACAAACCCAATAACACAATCATGCCACACCACAAAACAGACAGATCACACCACAAGCAGAATACCACAAGGCAAAAAATGATAGGAAACGGTGCCAGCAGTCATCCCATTTCTGCCACAGATATGTACCTGAGAGCGCTTTAGAGGATGGTGTGCAGGTCCCAGGTTCATGTTTTAAAAGCTGCCTGGGGGATTATGGACCATTCACACACTTTCAACCTTAACATACCTCATAGGGTAGTTGTGCGGATCATACGGGGGAGAGGAGAATGATGTCAGCTGCTTTTGTTCCCACTGCAGGGAAAGACTGCCCTTTCCCTAGGCAGAGGCTGGGGGGGGGGATGTAAACCTGAAGACAGACAGGCAGATAAAGGTAGGCTGATGGTTGCCTGGAAAGGACATAGGGTTGCCAACTCCAGGTAGGAAACTTCCAGGATATTTTTGGGATGAAGCCTGCTGAGAGTGGGGTCTGAGGAGGAGGAAGAGGGGGACCTCAGACAGATACGATGCCATAGACCCCACCCTCCAAACAAGCTGCTGCCAATCTCCAGGTGACAGCTGGAGAGCTCTTAAAGCTTTGGTGCTAATTCAAACTGTTGCAATTTATCGACAGAGTAGTGTTTCGGAAAATCCTTAGGAATTGTTTGGTGCATTGCCAGCTTTAG